ATACCAAGCCTCGTTACTCCATCATCGCAAATCTGCACATTCTTAGTCCGATTGCCTTTCCCCCGCCGAAAGTAAAATACTGAATTTCTGAATCACGCACTGAGTAAACTTCCCCTCAAGTCATTCACTGCCCCGACACGTGAGAAAACATCCTACCATCATATCACTACTGCGGAACAATCGTTCATAAGCATCATGGCAACTTGTGCCTAGCCTTAGAGCCCTCCGAAGTACCGCTACTGGCTGAAACAATAAAATATCCTTCTACAAAGCGATGATAATAATCCGATCAGCTATACCTGGAGAAACATCCTATATCACATCTGTAGTACCATTACGGCCCTTCAATTCTCGATTTATAACAAGCGCTTCGCATCGCATAAGATTGAGTAGGAAAGAAACAAAGGCATAAGCCTCACAGGAATCAAATCGCACGATAAGGAATCAAGAAGGGAAGTACTCCTAACAGCCTTGTAGCCTCCCGAAGATAAGTACAGACGTCTCTGTACCGATCCGCGTGACTCTACTAGACTTGCTTATGACTCGTGAGACCTAAGGGAACCTAGTTCTCTGATACCATGTTGTCACGACCCAAAATCCTCTATGGGTCGTGATGGCGCCGGACACCGCTGTTGGGCAAGCCAACCAAATACTTAATTAAATTCTTGTTTAAATAATTTCCGAAAACACTTCTTTTATACGATTAAAACAACACATCGGTATGTTCCTCCGAATAAATAATGAAACATTTAACAACTTTAAAAATTTCTGAATAAACCCAAATACATCCCAGAACCCGGTGTCACAAGTACATGAGCAATTTCTAAGAAAAACCGAATAAAGTACAACAGTTGTCCGGATACAATTGGACAGAAAATAAGTAGGATCCTGAGAGAGAGACTATACTAGCTGTGGGTCGCCTCGAGGAAATATAGCTCACCTAGTCTCCGTGTCCCCATGATGCTACGCCCAGTAGGCCACTAGAGTTATATATACCTGTGCAACAAAAATGCACAGAAGTGTAGTATGAGTACGAAAACAACGTGTACTCAATGAGTATCCCGTCTAATCTCGAAGAAGTAGAGACGAGATGGTCAACTTCGACACTTACTAGTGGTCCAATAATAATATGGTGAAGATGTGAGGAAAACATGGATTTATCTAGCAATTATAACTCATAGAGCAAGAAAACAGGTAACACCTTCTCAAATAATAAGGAAATTCCAAGATTTACTTTTTATTTTCTTTATTAGTTTATAGCGGGCCATAAAAAGGCAATATCAACTTCAATAAGTTTCAGGATAAGCAATCAAGCATGCGCATATTATGCCGAGGCGACGACCCGATCCAACAGAAATAAACTGTGCACTTGCCGAGGGTCGACGACGCGCCTATAGATGCATCTATTTAATCTATCAAGGCGTTCGACCCATTCCAAAAATAAACACACACAAACAGACAGTCAATCAAGAAGTCGACATGGAGCAACTATCCAAAGAAAGGCCAATTCTCTTTAATAATTTAGGAAAAATGGAGTTTAAGCCCCTTTTAGAAATTCATTTACTAATTCGATGTGATTTAAGCAGTACAAGATGTCAATAAGATTGCAATTATTCCGAGTATAGCATGCTTTTGGGTCCTAGACTACCCGGACAATAGCATAATAGTTGCTACGCACGGACTCTCGTCTCCTCGTGCATACGTAGCCCCCACAATAGGAGCACATAACCAATTAACTCACCTATGGGGACAATTCCCTCTTACAAGGTTAGAAAGGAGACTCTCCTCGCTCCGAAGATCCATAACCGGCATTCCACGCCCTTCCGAAGACTCGAATCGATGCACAACGCTCCAAAACTAGCCAATAATTATGTAAATCCATTAATATATGCTAAGGTACTCATTATAATCCAATTTATAACAATTCCTAACCCCGATCGAAAAGTTGACAAAAATGCCCTCGGGCCCACGTGCTCGGAATCCGAAATTTTTTGAAGATAAAGATTACCCATGACCTCACGAACTCAAATATATGATTTCCTCTCAATTCCATACCCAAAATCGTGGTCAAAATCCAAGAATACTAGTTTTCTAGGTTTTCCCTCAAACCTCAAGTTTTCTACAATTTTCCATGTCTAAATCCGTATACAAACCTTGTATATACTCAAAACTAGTAGAGATCACTTAACTCATGCTTGGTGATGAAAATGGCACTCCAAAGTTGCTCCAAAACCGGCTCCCATGGAGGAAATGAAGTGAAAATGAGCCAAACTTCGATTTTTAAAACACCCTTCTGCCTACAGCAATTTCCGCATCTGCGGAAATTTGACCGCATCTGCGGTTATGACAGCAACCAGCACTTTTCTCGACACGGAAATGAGCATAACTCCCTCATACGATGTCCAAATTCAACGATTCTTTTTGCTATGGATCCGTAATTACGATACGGATCTAATGGTACAATAAAAACTCAATTTGGAGATCATTTGCTTAATATGGTACCCTTTTATGTCCAAAGAAACGATGTTAAAACATCATATAAGAGCGAGATGCAACCCGAAACACACCCGAGGCCCCGACCAATCACACCAACCAGTCCCAAAACACGTTACGGACTTACTCGAGGCCTCAAATCACATCAAACAACGCTAAAATCATGAATCAACCCCCCAATCCAAGCTTTATGAACTTTAGAACTTCCAACTTCTACTTTCGATGCTTAAACCTATCAAATCACGTCCGATTGACCTAAAATTTTGCACACAAGTCATATTCGACATTACGGACCTACTCCAACTTTCCGAATCGGATTCCGACCCCGATATCAAAAAGTCTACTTCCGGTCAAACTTCTAAAAAACTTTCAAATTTCTATCTTTAGCCAAATGACTCCAAACCTCCGAATTCACTTCCGATCGCGCTCCCAACTCCAGAATCGCCATACGGAGATATTCACAGACTCAGAATCCCAAACGGACATTGATAACACTGAAATGCACTTCAAGCCAAACTTATGAAATTTCTTCCAAAATGCTAACTTCCACAATTTGCGCCAAAACACTCCCGGGTCATCCAAAACCCGATCCGGGCATACGCCCAAGTCCGGAATCATCATACGAACCTATTGGAACCTTCAAATCCCGATTCCGAGGTTGTTTACTTAAAAATCCAATCTTAGTTAATTCTTTCAACTTTAAGCTTCCGAAATGAGAATTCTCTTTCCAAATCAACTCTGAACTTCCCGAAATTCTATTCCGACCGCGCGTACAAGTCATAATACCTGAAATGAAGCTGCTCATGGCCTCTGACTGCGGAACGACACGCTAGAGCACAAAACGACCGGTCGGATCGTTACAACAAGTGGATGTTCACTAGATTTAGGCCTCCACAAGACTTAGGAGAACAAATCTTGTCCCAGGATATCAGGGCCTTCTTAGTGATGGTATTGGTGGCAGACCATATATAGCTCCTACAATATGCATCAATAATCTTCAACACTTTAACATGTAATGATAGCAGCTGATCCCAGTATGCTTGAATGCCAAAGATCACACTTTGTACTAGCTGCACTCTTCCCGCATATGATAGTTTTTTAGCTGTCCATGAAGATATTCTTGCCACTATCTTTTGTATAAGAAGTTGACACCGGATTTTGAGATCTTTTTAGTTGATAATGGTATGCCTAAGTATTTGAAAGGCATCTCTCCTTGCCCATATTCCAGATGTTGTAGAATTATGTTTCTTTTAGCAATATAAACCCCTCCAAAATACACAGAATGCTTTCCTAGATTGGTTTGCAACCTTGATGCTTGTGAAAATTGACTAAAACATTTATGCATGGCAGTCATTGATGTTAAATTACCTCTTGCAAATAGCAGTAGATCATCAGCAAAGCTTAAATGTGTGATGCCCATCCTAGAACACTTTGGATAATATTTGAAGTCATTATCTTCCTTCAATCCATTGAGACTTCTGCTTAGATACTCCATTACAATAGCAAATGGAAAAGGGGATATAAGATTCCCTTGTCTAAGTCCCTTTTTTGCATCAAAATGAACAGTGGTCTCTCCATTGATCAATATGGTATAGTTGACTGTTTTGACACATTCCAGAATCCAGCCAAAAAACTGTGTAGGGATTCCCAAATGATCCATTACCTGTTCCAAAAAGATCCACTCCACTGAGTTATAGGCCTTTTTAGATCAATCTTAATCATACACCTATCAGAGGTGTGTTTCCTCGTATAAGACTTTATCAATTCATGGGCCAGGATAATGTTGTCTGTAATTCTTCTTCCAGGTATGAAACCTGCCTAATTTTCACTGACGATGGATGCGGTAATATTCTGCAATCTTGTTGCTAGCACCTTAGAGATGAGCTTATAGAGTAAAGTGCAGCAAGAAATAGGTCTGAAATCCTTCACAGTTATCAACTTTTAGTATCAGTGTAATAGTAGTACAGTTTATTGCCTTGTACATTCTACCAGAGGTAAAAAGATTCCTTAACAGCTTCACAGACCTCCTTCTTGATAATTTTTCAGGCTTTCTTGAAAAAAATAGGCATTGTAACCATCCACCCCTGGTGCCTTGCCATCTCCAATGCTCTGTAATCCTTCAAAAATCTCTTGCTCAGTGAATTCTGCACATAGTTGAATTCTTTATTGTTGGGAGAGTGTAGACCCTTGTTTCATGACCTCCCTGTTGATGGCAGGTAGGGTTTGGGCAGCAGATCCCACCAGAGAATTGTAAAACTCCATGATTTCATATTTGGTCCTCTCAGCATCACTTAAATTCTGTCCATCTAGAGATATGAGTTCTTTAATTTGCTTCTTCTGATTCCTTTCCTTCAGTATAGCAGAAAAATACTAGGTATTTGAATCCCCATGTTTAATCCACTTAGCTTTTGACTTTTGCTTTAGGACACTTTCCTCTATGAGGGACCATTTCTCCAACTGATGAAGAACAACTTTCTCCTGATCCAGTAGGTAGTCATTATACTGTGTTACAATCTTCTCTTGAATATCTTGAAGTTCCACCCGAGCCTTGTCAATCTTAGCAGTAATAGTTCTGAATCCTCATTGTTTAAAGCCTTGAGTCTAGGCTTTAAAGCTTTTAGCTTCAGCCAAATACTCTTTATTCTCCAATTTGTTACGTTTTGAGCCCATACTTCCTGCACTAATTGCAAAAAACTATCATGGTCTGCCCAGACATTTAGGAATCTGAAAGGAATTTTACCAGGCCTAGTAATTGTGGAGATTGGTAGTAGCATAGGTGAATGATCATACATTTGGGGTAGATCATATTTAGTCTGCACGTGCCCCCATTGCATCATCCACTCAAAATTTCCAAAGACTCTATCAATTCTGCTATTGATTCTATGTGATCCATATTGCTTGTTTGACCAAGTGTAGTAGTCTCCCTTCCATATCGATCCATTCACTTGTAGAGCTTGAATGCAGTTAGAGAAATGAGTTTCTGCATATGTTATAGGATTGCCCATCACTCTCTCTTGAGGATATAACACTGCATTAAATTCTCCACAAATTATCCAAGGTGTGATTATGTTTGCAGACAAACTATGCATGTCTGTCCAGAGTGACCTCCTTTGTTCAACTGTATTATATCCATAGACCACAGTCATTAAATATTCTATTTTCCCTAAATTATCCTTTAACTAGCAATGTAAGAATTGTGCACCAGCTTTTATTAAACTCACAGTATACCACCTTGGATACCATACCACCCATAGCCTACCATTCTGAGCATACTGGTAGTTGATAAACCCTTCCCATTCAGGTACAATAGCTTTGATCACTCTCTTGAAATTATGAACTTTCACTCTAGTTTCCATCAAGCCAGCTAACTTAATATTTTTGTTTTTGATGTAGTTATGCAACTCTTTCTTCTTATACCTCTTATTGACTTCCCTCACATTCCAGAATAGACAGTTCATCAGCATGTTAATTGACCTTTTCCCCCGTCAAGAGGTAATTGCTGCAAATCTCCAGTTCCACATGGTAGTACCTCAAAAGGATTCTTCACTCTAATTGCAGATAGCATAGGAAAATTTGTTAAGTTACACTCATGGATGCTTTCCACTTGTTTTCCTCGATGGCCTTCTTTGGGCATAACATCAACTGGACTATTGCTGTTTTGCCTTTGGCTAATTGCTAGTCTGCTACTTGCAGAAGCAGAATGTGACATCTGTTGCTCAACTGGTGCTTTTTGCTGATCCTGTTGCTTAACTGGTGTATGTTATACATGCATGGCATCAAACTTTTGAACCTGGCCTTTGGTTCTCCATTCCATGGTCACTTTCTTAGTTTCCCTTATTCTCCCATTCAGCTTGACTTGTTGCTTAGGTTCCTACTTATTTGTGCCTCTATGAGGAGTACATGTGTGGCCAACCTTTTGACATTGATCACAAAACTTAGGTTTCCACTCATAATAGACTCCTTGCAGAAATTGTCTACCCTTTGGATCCATAACACATATCTCATATGGAAGTGGTTTAGTCACATTAACCTCTATCAACATTATGACAAAGGACACTCTGGTTTTCTTAGTTGTACATTCATCAGCAAATATAGGAGTCTCAATAGCACTAGCTATTCTACTAAGAGAATCAATTCCCCAACCGTTCATAGGTAATTTTGGGAATCTAACCCAAAAGAGAATTTCAGTGGAAAATTCCTCATTAAAATCAAACTCTGAGGTCCAAGGCTTCAAAATCATAGGCATATTATTAATGGAATAAGATCCATAATAATAGATCTCTTGCATGTTAGCCTCCGCGTGAAATCTGATAATGTAGTATCCTTCCTCTTGCAGAAACATATCTGTTCTCTAACATTTGCCCAATTAACATTGATATATCATTTCATAGTGTTATATACCGGAGTCTTACCCAAAATGTATAAAATTAGATCACATTTCCATTTTTCAGTCTCAAATTCAACCTTGTCTTTGTCCAATTGTACAACAATTTTCCCATTGACGATTTGGAGGAATATAAGACAGAGACATAACATTTGCTACAGATCTCTTCTTTTGAAATAGATTAGACCATGGTTTAAGATCTACATCTTTTGTAGCCGGTGCAGGATTCCTTGACTCTCTACCTTCCTCAACAGCTATTACTGTTTCATTAGTTATTGTTGCATGCACTGATTAATCCTTTGTTGCATTTTTCAATTGTGGACGAATTGTAGCCGATGGAGGTGTTGTTAGGTCGCTTTTTCGAGACTCTTGAGCTAGACGCACCTCCTGTGTTCCTCCATTGAGCCCTGGTATCAGACTCTAGATCTAGATCTGGTGGTTTTGTAGCTTTCTCTTTACTATCCCCCTTAGTTTGACTTCGCGAGCTGACAAAGCTTCCTACATTAGTGATTACAACTTTTTTGGGCCTTCCACGTCCTCATACCCTCCCTCTCGTCATGGACTAGCGAGTTAAGCGCATGTTAACTAACGTGAGCTGAGAGCATGCAGAGAGAGAGCTTCCCTATACGAGTAATTTTATTTGGGCAAAGATCACTTTAGCGTGCGGTCGAAATTATTTATATCCGGTAACTGTAAAAGTATATATGTAATATTCATATATTTTTTCTAAATAACACACACACACACACACACACACACATATATATATATATATATATATATACACACACACGCACATACAAGGTCAATTGTCATCTTCCCTTTATTTTCATGCCCACTTTGGAGGGGGAAGTACACAAATAGCAATATTTAGGACTACTATTTAGGATTGATCCGTACTTATTTTATCCTGAAAATTTAAATTAAAAATTTTGAAACAATTAAACTGAAAAATTAAAATTCAGGACACAGTGATTAATTTCTAAAGCATCCCGTTAAATTGGTACATGATGTCATTTCTGGGCGATGTGCACAAATAGCCACTAACAGCTCATGTCTTTATTTTAAAGCCAGTGTTTTAACTCTCTTTAGCCTTTAGCCACTGGTTTAATACACTTTATCTGCCCGGACAAAAATACCCTTCTGCTAATGTCCTTAACTTCAGGACTTCAGGACTACATGTCCTTAACTTTTGAACTTGAAACTCTAAGTTCAGGACTTCAGGACTACATGTCCTTAACTTTTGAACTTGGAACTCTAAGTTCAGGACTTCAAGGCTACATGTCCTTAACTTTTGAACTTGGAACTCAAACTTCAAGACCAAGCGTCCTTAACTTTTGAACTTGTAAGTCAAAGTTAAGGACCTATTGTCCTTAACTTTTCAACTTGTAACTGTAAGTTAAGTACTGCTTGTCCTTAACTTTTGAACGTGTAACTGTAAGTTAAGGACTGTCTGTCATTAACTTTTGAACTTGGAAATCAAAGTTAAGGACCTATTGTCTAACTTTGAACTTGTAACTGTAACGTTAAGGACTGCTTGTCCTTAACTTTGAACGTGTAACCTGTAGTAAGTACCGTCTGTCCTTAACTTTGTAACTTCGGTAATCAAAGTTTAACGGACCTTAGTCGTACTTAACGTTTTGAACCTTGTAACTGTAAGTTAAGGACTGCTTGTCCTTAACTTTTGAACGTGTAACTGTAAGTTAAGGACCGTCTGTCCTTAACTTTTGAACTTGGAAATCAAAGTTAAGGACCTATTGTCCTTAACTTTTGAACTTGTAACTGTAAGTTAAGGACTGCTTGTCCTTAACTTTTGAACGTGTAACTGTAAGTTAAGGACTGTCTGTCCTTAACTTTTGAACTTGGAAATCAAAGTTAAGGACCTATTGTCCTTAACTTTTAAACTTGTAACTCTAAATTCAGGACTACATGTCCTTAACTTTTGAACTTGGAACCCGAAGTTCAGGACTACCTGTCCTTAATTTCTGTGCTTGTAGCTCTAAATTAAGGACCAAGTGTCCTTAACTTACAGTATTAACATCCAAGAATTTATTCTAACTGCTTATCACTTGTCATTTCTGATTCTGGCTAATATTGCTTAAACAAAAAGTACAAAATCAAAGTATTTTTTACGAGAAAATTCAAGATTTGGATGCATAGCACCAAGCATGCGAAGAACAAGATGAGGATTAGACTCTTTTCTTATGGAGTAATCCTCCACTGTACCATTCTCCAGTTGCTTCCCGCATTATCCGTATGACTTGAGAAATCACCAGAAGATTCTCTAGATCTCAACTTCACGTGATCTTTGCTAGCTTGTGCATCAATGGCGGCAACTGCATGTACTTCAGTTACTGGTTCGGTCGCCGGAGGTACATTGGCTAGGAAGAGAAGATGGACAGAAAAGACCTAGAAGAAAGGATAATACCGTCTTTTCATATTAATTTTATTAGACTAGTGGCTATATTTGCTCAGCATTAAAAATACTGAATAAAAAGTAAATACCACTTTAAAAAGTGGCTACCCCAAACAATTTTTACGTCATTTCTACCTGGGAAGCCCAAGAGACAATTGTGATGAAAAAACCAAGCAAATAATTGGGAAGGAGAGGATTTTGTGGTGGCAGTTAATCCGTTAATATCTGACATTGTCTTCCCTCCAAACGAAGGTGTCTCTTCTTCCATGGCTTTAGCTTCAGTCACTATGAATTTTCCCTTCATTTCTACTCATAATAGTTATCACAATCTTTCTTCAAACCCAATTTTCTCTCCTCTCTGTACTAATAATAACAATCCCTCTTCTAATTGCTCACCATCATCTTCATCTTCTTTGAATTATACTATTAATTTTTCATCTTCAACTCTTTACTCAAAGCAACTAACTGTTTCTCGCAATGTCCATCGACAGACCCATTTCATGAAAAATCACAAAATCAAGGTCAGCATATATAGATCGTAATTAGTATACATATATTTACATAAGTAAAATTTATGGAAGAATTTTGTGTGTGTGTTTTCTCTATAGAATTAAGTACTTGTTTTCCATTTATTAACTAGTTAAAACTAGAAATACTATTTATGGAAGTAGTACCTTGTGTGAAAGTTAACCCTTTTTGGTCTATTTTACTATAGACTTACTTATTTTACATTTCTTTTATTGATTAAAATATAAAAAATGAAGTACCCAATGGTGTGGCCCAGTGGTCAACAAAGTGGGTTGAGAATGATGAAATCTTAGGTTCAAATTCCAATAGAGGTACAAGTCTTAGTGCATAGAGTTATCTGATAGTTATTGCTGGTGGGAGGTGGCACATATGTCCTAGAATTAGTTGAGGTGTGCGTAAGCTGCCCCGACACCACGTTTATTAAAAAAATACAAAATGAAGTCCTTTTGTTTTGCAGGTGATTTGTGCTAGAAGTGAATCCTTAAAGGTGATGATATCAGGTGCCCCTGCATCTGGTAAAGGGACTCAATGTGAATTGATTGTACAAAAGGTTTTTCATTCTTGATCCCCCTCTTGTTTTCTTCTGCTATTTGATGGTCTGAATTATGTCTTGATGGAAAGTTAGCAGCTTATTCCGGAACGCTAACTAGTTCGGGATTGAGGGGTAGTTGATTGATTGATTGATTGTTCACGACGTTGTGTTAACTATGATTGCCCATGACCCATTGGTGAATATGCTAAAGCAATTAAGTTGTCCATTTTTTCCAATTATGCCCATCCTTTTATGCATTCCCTAACGTGCCAAGTGTCTATTATTTGAATGTTCTGGGATGTATAAGATCCTCTCCACCCTTAATAAGAGGTCTCTGGTTTGAGCCCTGGGAATGGAAAAATCCCTAGCAGGAAGCGCTTCCCCGTTCATATTCCCTACGCGGCACATATCTAAATTAGGCGGGCCAATGGATTCCTGATACCAGATGATTAAACAAAAAAATAAGTTTTGTTTTTCATGGTATGCCTATTCATGTTGAACTAAAGAAAATTGTGAACGGGAATGTTGGTTAATTTAAAATTTTGCCTTGAATGATATTTATCATGGTCTATTTCAGTTTGGATTGGTGCACATATCAACTGGTGATCTTCTACGAGCTGAATTATCAGCTGGTACTGATATTGGAAATAAAGCCAAGGAGTACATGAACTCTGGTCGCCTGGTTCCTGATGAGATTGTAACAGCTGTATGATATCTTTCAATTAGTGTCTTGTTAATGAATAACTTTTGCTTTTATGATTTTCAATATCAGCTTCTTCTTACAGATGGTGACAGCGCGATTATCAAGAGAAGATGCAAAAGAAAAAGGGTGGCTTCTGGATGGTTATCCGCGAACTTTGGCCCAAGCAGAAAGTCTAGAAAGATTGAATATCAGACCAGATATCTATATTGTGCTTGATGTATGTCCGCCATACCATTACATAAGCTGCTTTCCTTTCCGTCTTAAATAAGATGATTTTTTGAACATTTACTAAAGACAGTCAGATGTTTTATTGTTACATATTTTGCTGCTGTGCGCGGTATGACCTTGCAATGCTGGACAACTCCGTAGGGGCTGTAGTTTTGTTTCGGAGTCGTATTTTATTCTTGCTCATGTATCCTCAAGAGTTTCTAGTCTATTTACTGGGATAGTGGGGGTAGTAGTTTTTACCATTCATAAGCCAAACACTGCTGACCAGAGGATGCATGCGCGAATAAATGTGGCCGTCCTATGCATTCTCTGTTTATACCTAATAGGTATATTAAAGCAAGAGTAAATGAAAAAGTAATATTGGAATAGAGTCTCCAATTATTATAGAAATCCATACAAGTGCATTGTGGTAATTCAGCGTAGATTTTAGCCCCCGTCATCTTCCATTTGATGTATATCCGATATTTTACATTAAAAAAACCTTTTTCTTCGACAGGTTCCTGATGAGATTCTTATTGACAGATGTGTTGGTAGAAGGCTAGATCCTCTCACAGGAAAAATATACCATGTTACTAATTTCCCTCCAGAGACCGAGGAGATCAAAGCGAGGCTAATAACTCGTCCTGATGACACAGAAGAAAAGGTACTTTTGACCCGCATTGTGTGTCTTTCTTTAGTTTACTAGATGAATACATGCTATTAGGATGTGTTTATGAATTTTTTGGTCTATCGATAGCCTAGACAATAATTTAAACTAACCTTATTGTCCATCTTGGAGATCTCTAGAAAAAGTTAAGCATCAAATATATCATAAACTCTACAGTTTACAATTATTCTAAATGTGTTTCAGGTGAAATCGCGTCTGCAAATATACAAGCAAAATGCTGAAGCAATATTACCAGTGTACTTAAATATAATGAATAAGGTACATTTCACATTTACTCCTCTTAAATTTTTTAAGCTTGTACCTTTTACTAGTGGTTTTCTTTTATGAGCTGTGACATACAGGTTGATGGGAACCGCGGCAAAGATGCAGTCTTTGAAGAAATTGATTCCTTGTTGTCACGTGTGCAGAAAGAGGAACAAGATGCATATAAATTAGGTCTGAAAAAGATGTGTTATTCAACAATAGTGAAGATTTTTTGCAGGACACTTTTTTTCACTTTCTTGTTAGCTACTGTACAGACCTACTGAATTAGCAGTCGTCACTTAGTTTAACGATAATTTGGACTCGCTGAAACTTTATTCTAATTTTTGTTTACAGAAAAATCAGAAATTACCAGTACTCAAGTTGACATGGCATCTTCGGGCAAGGTATTCAGTTTCTACTCTAAATTATGGATGTAAATTACCATTTGCTTTTGATTCTTTTAAGGAGAGTTACACAAAATGCACATTTAGCTTTGACGCTTTATTTTGCTTATATCTTTGCAGGACTGGAGAGGAATACCAACTAGACTAAATAATATTCCTCACTCAAGAGAAATCAGGGAATATTTCTACACTGATGTGCTTCAGGCTACTCAAAGAGCTGTCAATGATGGGAAAACTCGATTAAAGGTATGCTTTCCTCTGATTCAAAATTAATTCAGAGAAGGTTGATATCAGAGTAGTTTGAGTCGATATAGCTGTTTTATATTATAATCTTGATTGGTTATCGTTTTAATTAAGACATCACCTTTTTGCCACCATTTTTATAAGTGCCACATTTTGATTGAGAAGTCCACCTTTTTGTGGTAGAAGTAGATACACCGTATTATTTTCTGTTTAGTTTCTTGGGAAGGAAGAAAAAAATTATGTGGTTTGAACTTTGAAGAACAAATTTAGAACCTTTACAAGGAATCCATGATTTTTTCCATCTACATTAGCTTAAATCCAAGTTAGACTAATACGTTTATCTTGAATTGGCAGATAGAAATCAGTATCCCAGAGCTGAATCCTGCAACGGTGAGAAAACATTCTTTTATCATATGCCAATAGCTTATTTAGGTTTGACTGTATCGTAAATGCACAGGATGTTTATCGAATAGGTACGCTAATGGAACTTATCCGGGTACTTGCTCTTTCATTTGCTGACGATGGAAAGCGTGTCAAGGTATGTCTCTTATGCTAATTCTTTCCCATTCTTATATAGTTAATCTATTATCTTTGAAACAAGGAAAATTATACATATTCATTTCTCCAGATCTCATTTGTAGGTTTGTGTCCAAGGATCTATGGGGGAAGGTGCACTTGCAGGGATGCCGTTGCAACTTGCAGGAAGTCGAAAGATATTAGAGTACATGGATTGGGGTGATTATGGTGCTCTCGGCACCTTTGTCAATATTGGTTCTATAGGTATTGTTCAGATAAAAAGTGCATATGTGATGACTCTCACACTTCCTATCCAATATCGTGTTTCTAGAATTCGTTCGAACCCTGTATTTTCGATGCGAAGTATAGATATATATGTGAAAATCAATTAAACTTTTAACAAATATTAGATTTGAACTTGTAAATTTGAAAGTACAATGAGTAGTGTGCTAACAACTTTAACGATCGAACTAATCAAGTTTAAATCCTGTATCCGCTTCCATTCTCTTCATTGTCAGAGATATATTTCAGAATGTTCTCCTAGTATTACTGATTATAGAAACTTTATAATTATATAAATGTTTCTATAGTGTGATGACTATTCTTGTTTGTTGTGTAAATCTACACATGCTAAAATGATTTCTGAGGTTAACTTTGCGATTAAACACGTTACAACCGCACTTGAAATCGGTTCTTTTATTATTGCTTGGTTACTCCATATTTACTATCAAATGTTATGTGTTTTTCAGGTGGCAAGGAGGTTGAAAAACAAGACGACTTATTTATTCTAGTGGCTCCACAGAATGCTGTGGGAAATTGCATTATAGATGTAATTCACTGTTGACCCAGCTGCTGTGTTTTCCTCATATTACTCTTTATTCAGTTTACTATATTCCTTCTCTGCCGCTGAATAATGCAGGATATGAGAGCTATGACTGATGCTGCGGGTAGTCGACCAGTTATTCTTGTCAACCCCAAACTAAAGGTTAGGATCTTAATTGCTCTCTTATGAATGTGACTTCCTTTGACTTAAGTTCAACTCATAGCTTACCATTTTCCCAAATACAGCAGCAAAAATTTCTTGAACGGTAAATTACTCTCATGTCCCTTCCAACTCAAATTATCTAAGTATTAGCCATGGATTCAAATTACTATTTATAATGTTTTTGATCTTTCTTAGCAAACATTAGTCAGTCGAGGCACA